TTTAATACACTGTGCCATTGCTAGCAAAGGTTTTTGCAGCCTCCTTACCAATGATAACTGGTGCACAGAAAGGTTCAGTGCTGTGAAAAGGAACAGGACTAAGGCACCTACAGCACTAAGGTCTCCTTTAGAGGCTAAAATTGATCCACTATCACAATAGAGTTTATGGAATTGAGGCTTCCACTTGTCAAACAGTTTAAAGACATTGGCGAACATTCCTTGCTCAAATAATCTGGAAATAGGCTGGACAAAAGACTAGATCATCTACTGCAGAGGGCAACTATGCACTGCCATGGGCTTTGGGTGAGGTAAACCAACAGACTGTGATCAAAAAGCACCCTGTTTAGCCAGCACAGATGCATGAAGCATAGGTCTTTGTCAGACAATTAATTAAAAAACTGGTTCAAAAAAACTAAAGCAATTTTCATCATTAAAACCAAAGAGAAATTGGAAATGCATCAATTACCCGAGGTATTAAAGATACTTTATGATTTAAGTATTAACACAGATTAGGCTTGCTGAAGTTTCTGGAACTATACCAGTTTAAGAACTATTTTATGTTGCCACGTGAATTTTATCATCTTCACAAATAAGAAAATTTATCTCTTCCATTTAAGGTTTATGCTATCCCTTACTTTCAGAATACAAAAATGTATAAGATTAAGGAACACTGTACATACTCTGGATCAAATAACATCCTTCTAATTCACAAAACCTGCTTACATTGGAATATTCTTATCTCTTCTGAAGACTTTCGTATGTACCTTGAGTAGGTAAATCTCCATGTTTACCATGTACCATACAGAAGAAAACATTGCTAAAACCCCCCTTCATGATCAGTCATTACCCAACTCTTCCAAAGGCTTATGCAGTGTTTTCTGCCACACAGACAGTCAGCATGCCTAGTCCCTTGCTGTTGCAGGCAGTCACATCATAAACTGATCAAATGTCACTGCAGAACTAAATAGGCTTTTTGGCCTAAGTTTCCAAAATTTGGGAGTGGGCCTCTCTTCCATTCAAACTAATTTGGGTAACAATGAAAAAATTCACTCAAACAGGGTTTCTGACTACATCTTTTTCCGTCAGTGGTTCTTGTTTTCCGTTCCAACCCACATCATCTATTCTCTTCCTTCCACCCATTCTTTGCCCCCCCTTCCCCCCCCACCCCCCCCCCAAAAAAAGGCTGGATTGGACACTGTGCTTCAATTTTCTGTAGAACTTTCTATTTTTCTTTCCCATTCTTTTTGTTTAGTATATGAAAGCAGCTTCCTGTTTAGAAACATGGGAGTCCTACACCCTCAGTAATGATGTATTCAGCCCATCAATGATCTTGGCATGAATGCCTTAAACCTTAATAAGCCTGATGGGATTTTCTGTATATGTCATCATCAGTCCAAAAAACAATGCAGAACATTTGTCATCTTGCACTGAACCAGCTCCCTTCCCAGTGCTACAGTTCTAGTAAGAATTCTAAGGGCTTACAAGCTTCCTTCTCTCAAATAGTTCACATTACAAATTTCCAGCGCCTACAGACCAAGAACAGAAACATCAAGAGGAGACAGCGTTGCTGATCAATATTATTCTGCTTTTCCAGCCCTGAGTCCCCACAGAAGTCCACCATTGCTCACACTGCCCAAGTCTTACTATAACCTATTATCCAAATCCTGGGCTTGTCCTGTGCTGGGGAATAAGAATGAAACATAATGTAGTCTTCGCTCCACTTTAAAAACATCCCTCCAAACCCTGTATCACCTAGAACAAAATTATATCTTGTTCAAATACATAGACTGGATCAAAATCAATTTCCGTGGATTCAAAAAGGCAGCAGCATTGGGTCATTAGAAGTAAACTATGTATCACTTTGGGAGTTTAATGTTTAATTCCTGATGCTGAATATTAACTGCAGTGAAGCTCTCCAGTGAAGTTACTGGACAGCCATACAACTAGCACTTGAATCAATGGGTGCAGAAGCAGCCTTGTATACCACACAACAATGTGCTGTTCTTCTCGAGCAGCAAAGTGGTTAACCACAATTTATTCTATATGGCATAATTCTTCAGCTAATTCTGCTAGCAAAGCTGCTAGTCTGGAGTTCACACATTTTAAATACTGACAATGCAAGGCACACATACTGTTTAACTCTTTTGAGGGCTTGGTCTGTGCTTACATAAACATCAAAACACATTTTGATCTTTACTTATGGGTGAGCAGCACAGTTAATTTAGAACTGTCAGCAAGTGCCATCCTAATTAAAAACAAATGATTAACTGCACAACTACAGGGCCTGTTGACACAGGCTACATACATCAGTCAAAGCCAACCAAGCTTGAATTTGAGGAAATGCAGCACCATCTAGTGTCCTACAGGAGTTAAAAATTCAAAAATCAATGTTACAATGAGTCCACATGGAAATTTCACAGGTAGCTGACACTCACACAAGACCAGAGGTCCAACTATACTGCTACTCCTGAGAAAGGGAATTACATAATAAAAATATTGATAAAAAGAGCTGCTGAGAGTCAAATGGTTGCAGGCAGAAAGGAAACTCTTTGAAGACAATAAATTGAGAAATTACTCTGCCACCTATCAAAAAAAAAAAAACACATTCCAAAGACTAAAAATAAGGCTACTAGAAAGGTTACTATCTACAAAAGCTGCTAGAAAAAAAAAATCCAACCTTCAAGAAGCTGAGTAATATTAAAAATTCTGGCAGGTTAAAAACCATAAAACAATATGAAAAGGCATTTGAGAAACTGAGGAAAATTAACAACGAATTATTTTCCAATCACATCAGGAGCAAGAATCTTGACAAAGAGTTCGCACAGCCAACAGATAATCAAATAATGGAACAGTAAGAAAGAGACAGGACTGCAGAAAAGCTTTTAAAACTTTTTTTTTTAATACACATTCATCATGGTGGAGTTTAGACTGGCTCCCACTCTGGAGAGCTCACTTCAAATTGGAGTGTCAGTAAAAGACGCTACTGGACATTTCAGGGACATAAGCAATAATAGATTCTTTATAATCAGACAGTATGAATTCTTTATAATCAGAGCTGACTTCTTTCAACCGTGCTGAAACTCTGTCATTAAGAATTACTGGACATATAGATAAATGTGCTATGCTGGCAAATACAGCTCAAGTAAAGGAAACGTAGACTTCACATCTCTATAACCATTCTCAGAGAACCTAACAAGTGTTATTAACAGATATTCATTCTAAAATTTAGCAACACGGAAGTTCCTGATGTAGTAACACCTTGTGTATCATGTCAGCCCTCCAATACAAAAAATATATAGTACAAAAAGGAATGGAGCAGCTCTCAAAGATGATTAAATAGAGAATCTCTTTGAAACCTGGAAAAGACAAAACTGAAGAACAATTAGGAGTAGAAAATTTGGAAAGGTAAATGTCTACTCTATCTCTGAGCACCACCAAGCCAACATTGTCTGTCACACACACGGAAGTGACGGACAGAAAGTTCAAAACCAAGTCCAAACCAGACAAAGCCAAAACCAGAAGTATTTCTTCAGAGAACACATACTGAGCCTGTGACATACATACCATAACAATACATAGCAAGGGGCTTACTAGACCCCTAAAATGATGTAGACTAATTAATGGAAGAAAAATCCCTCGGGTTCTGCAAGACATACTCCCTCCCTTCCCAGGTGTGCAGATCCCTGGGAACTGGAGGACTATCACTGTGTTCACCTATTCTTACTCTCCCCCTAAGCATTTATTCTGGCCTCCTAGAGTGGTCGGAGATAACAGACGAAAAAGGATCTCAGTGCAGTCATCCTTGTACACCTTCCAGAAGGGGAACAACTGTAGCATCAATAGCTGTCTTCTAACACCAAGGGTTGTGTACACACAGAACAGGAGTTGATGCTTGCAGAGTTAACTCCATATGATTAAAAATTTAAGACCATAATTACTATTAACACACTAATTCTCAGCAATAGCTTCACTATTTCAGCTTCACCTACCACTCCTATTTTTTAAAATCTATACCAATGCTAGAGGACACTGCATGAGAACAGAGTACAGACACCACCTGGAAGGCAGAGCAGATTTTGTATCAATCCCTGCTTTCCTTATTTCAAAGAGCATGAAGTATATATACACTCAAAAGATAAATGTATTTTCCTGCCAAAAAAGTCAGTATTCCTTTAAGAAGAATGTGGTTTGGAGCTCACAAGCTATGGGCATAAGTTATCAAGATTTTAACTATAGGAGAAAGTGCCAGAGCAAGCTGCTTTTGCTAACCCTCCAAAGCGTGTCTAAGAAGCTAGATAAGTTTATTAAGTCACAAGTCAAGCTCTGTAGGAAATGTCTCAGCGTAGACCTACATCTCATATGCTTTTCAAACATACTTATTAAAACATTTCACAGCATAAGTGCCTTTTTTTCATACAAAGAGAAGAAATTGTAAACAGGGTGAGTCTGAGAAAGTATGTATTAAAAAACAGCTTTGTTCAGGGTCCTAGTGTACACTCACTGCAGATAACTAATGAGCATCTTAAGCATTCAGCAGAATTTAATGTGTTCAAGAACTGAAACAGGCTACAGACTGTGGGAAGTGAATGCATGCAGCAGGCAACTCAACATCATGCAAGGCAACAACCCAAGTCTCTACTCATGGCCTTGCGAACCATAGCTCTGTTAAAGCCACAATAAAAACATCTGAAAACATTTTAAGATGTGTAAAGTTGGGCTTCCTTAAGCGTAAGATATAGATACACACACACACTATTTCCCTGCTACAAGGATATGCATCAAGAATTTGAAAGCAGAAAACCCATAAATTATAGCACCATAGATTAATGTGGTATTGCCCCCCCAACAATCTGCAAGACTCAGGTGTTAGTAAGGATAGAAATTAACACACCACACAAATTACTATTTTCTCAGTGAGGCTATATACTATAACTTAATATAGCACTAGCTCTATAGAAGGAAAGAATATTGTCTTCAACATAAAAACATGACAAATCAAATCTGAAAGATAAACCAAATTTATTTAAAACAAAAAATTAAGACAGTGCTTGCCAAGATTGAAAAAATGAAGGCTTTTTTACTGATGTGACAAAAAACAGCCAATTTACAACAGTTAGATTAATTCTGAGAAAATCAGGTTGGGTTTACACTGCTTCAATTGACTACATACACTTTCTGCAAGGCAAACTGGTTCCCCTTCCCTCCCCTTCCCAAAAGGACAGACAAAAACATCCTATAAAAAACGTGTACAGAATTGAGACACATGATCGAAACACGAACCATTGTCCAAAAGCCTGAAACCTTCCAACAAGGTTAAATCCTTTGTTGCTTCAACCAACCCTCAACGGGGGAGCTACAAGCACAACGCCGTCACCTCTGACAAAGAGCATCGGAATATTCCTTTTGGTAGACTATGAAGAAGGAAAGAAAAATTTATATTTACAAAAGCATAGTTTACAAAATGTATCTGCTAAGCATATGACCAAATTCAACCATAAGAAAACACCAGAAACAACTCCAACAAATGTTAGCTGAAACATACAACATTCTGGCATGCTAAAGAGATCAATACAACCAACACCAAGTCTTTTGGTATCCTTTGTACTTTTGCAACAATTTGCCCAAACTTCTTTTAGATCTTGGTTCAAAAAGCAGTCAGCAATAAACTACTTTAACAATATAACATAGTTTAGTTTTAAAAAAGTTTTCTATGGAAATAAATACACTAAAGTCCTTACTTTATAGATTTCTTCATAGGTTTCTTCATCAATCTCTATTGTAGTTACAGTTTCTTCCACATCGCCCAAAATCATATTTAAGTGCTGATCATACGCCTGTAGGAATGAAGTTAGTTTATTATTTCTTCCAAAATTCAAACACAAGCTCATTAAAATGAAAATTTTAGCAAAACTTTCAGACGTAATTAGTTTAGCCTGATTTGGCCAAAATGTGCCACTATGTCAAAACAAAGTAGTATCAGTTACAGTTATGATTTCAAACATAAATGCCAACAAATCAGTACTCTGCAGCATAAGCAAAAAGGGAAGACATTTATAGTCACTGAAACACTCTTCCGGGAAATAGCTCTGAAGCTTTCAGTGAGAACACATGCAGGAACAGAGACAGACACACTTCATTAACATTAAACTAGCTACACATCCTCTGCTGCCAGTCCAGCCTCCTGGAATTGATTGCCTGGGGCCAATGGAAATTATATGAAAGCTGTAATTCATACAGTACTACAGAAACTTAAAATAACCATGTTCCAAACACCTTACAAAAGCATGTTGTAAACTACACCATTGCCTCGTGGATCTCTCCTCATCTTTCTGTTCCCAAAGAAGTTGAGGCCCAGTTAATGCATGGAGCCACTGCTTCTCTTCCCCAACACAGTACAGTACTCAGGAAGGATGACTGACTTAAGAAAGCAAAAATATCTGTCTTGTTAAGAGACATATCGCTCTCAGAAGAAAGCACTTAGACAAATGAGATTTGTAGAGAATCCAGCTGAGTACATGTCCCGTCATACCCTCACCGCATATGCCTTAAGAGATACTTGTTCAATAATGATAATCTTAATTCAGTCTTAAAATAGACCTCAGGGCACTTCACAAGAAGAGGCCTGCAGCATTATTGCTTATTTCACAGACACAGAAACAGAAGTCAAAAGCAGTGGAATGAATTGCTTGGTATCATTCAGGAGACACCAAAATTAAAATACATCTCTTGACTCTCTAGAGAAGCATTTAATAGCAGCGTACTGAACAAATTAGATTTTTCCACTGATCACATTACAGTTTTGATAAGATAAAGGGTTCAGCCCTTTTTACTAAGATGATCTTTAACCTACCTTCTCTAACCACTTCCTCACTTTTAACTATGAGATACAATTACTTGTGTTTTTAAACTAATTTTTTAAACAATCAATGGAATATTACAGGTAAGCTTGTGTACTAGACCATTGTACATGAAAAAGGCTGCCCAGTGTGTAGCTGAATAAGCATGGCAGTGTTCTGAAAGTTTTACTTACATGTAGTCTGCCTCTAAGCTCTCTGTCATTCCTCATTTTGACATAGATTCGCTCATCTAGACTGAGTCTGATGAGATCAAGTGGCTCTTCTACAGTATTTGTTGTTTGTTGCTAAAAAAATAAAAAAATAAAGAAGTTATTTGTATAGAAGAAGCCTGTGGACTTTTCCATTCCTCAGTGCTTGTGAAACACTGAAAACAAACAGGTAAGCACACAGATGCAACTATTCCAAATCATTCCTTCACATCTTGTTGAACCTGAGTACAACTGATACTACCACTCCACAGATGTTCACCGGCCTGAGCAAAATGAGTTAAAAGACTTCAGTTTGCTTGCAGCCAGTTGCACCTCATGCACACTGTTGTATAAACCATATCACTTACCAGCGAGAATTGTCCATATTGCAGCAGAAAGCCTAACCTGCATGCACCCACCAGCTTACTGACCAGCACCACACCTGTGCCATCATATGGCGCAGACTAGAAAAACCAAACACGCGCTGCCATTTTTGCCAGGCAGCTGGGTAACATGCTGCCCCTCCTGCCCCAAACACACACCTCTCCCCAAGGCCTACCTCAGCAACACAGCAGTCATGCCAGGCCTCAAAGCAGGTGAGAAACTTGAAAGCATATTGGACTGAGGTATCTTTTTTTGTGATAAGGGCGTACTTTCAGTATCACAGCTAAAATGTGTGATTGTTTTCGTGCATATCCCGCAGCATGCTATCTATTTCCTTCTCTGAGGCAGAGCCGAGGGTGCTTTCCTCAGTCGTTCTCCTCCGTTTCCCTCCTCTGGCGGTTCCTGGGGGAACGGGCCTGAAGCGTGTCCCGCCCACACTCCTGCC